CGTTTTCTGACCAACAGAATTCTGTAAAATCTCTCCCCAAAGTCCAGGAAATGGCATTTCAGAGAGTCTAGATTCAAAAATTTTCCGGATGAGCATGCACTGGACCCCCTAGAAAACCTGTGCATATACGGCGCTCAACTCGTGACTTTAGCACTTCTACTAGGGGGGCCTTCGAAAATTTTGAACCGGGGGCCCCCTGATATAACGTTACGCCACTGCTCTCAATCCTCTACTCAAAGGTCTTAAAATAATTGAGGAGAAAGTGATACCTTTACATTGACATTAGTGAAAATTATTAGACCTTCGCTTCTTCTCGGATAAGGACGTTAGAATCGTAGGTATGTACGTCGGATCCCCTATCAGTTGGTAATAGCCTGTTGGTAAATCCGCTCACCAATGACAGTGAGAAACTCAGCGAAGTACACGAAAGTACTCTAAGCGTTATGGCATGGGGATTAATTTAAGGATATCATCAAAAGTATCATCATTGCTTTCAACATCGCTTGATTTATGTTACACTGTAAACGGTAATTAAAGATATCTGGTTCCTGTCTCGTACAAAATTGAGACTCAAGCTCATGTACTTAATCTCCAAAGTGAAGTACATAACGTTGCCCACAGGTATTCATTCAGAAACCTGAAACTATGAGTTTAATAGAACAATTAAGAGCACAATTGCATGTTCAAATACAACAATTGACTCCATTATTTCCCAGTCCTATCACTCCAATTCTGTTTCATGCCAAGATTTGTCAGACTTAATTACGATTTTGAATACCTTGGGCAGGAAAGGTCATATGGCACGAGCAAAAAGCGAGACTTCTGCGTACCCGGTGGTAATATTGGCGCACTTATGATGCCACATTTTCCTGGTCTCGTTCCAGGATCTTTTCTTCCGCGAAAATGCTTCTACGCTTGCCTTTCTGTGTTGTCAAAAACATCGCACTCTGCAGAGTCTGCATCGCATCCTGTAATTTCCATTCCTTCTTTAATAATGTATAAAATCCTTTATAGACATCGTCATCAACCAGACCATTCGTGTCCTAAATATGAAGAATACAAAAATTCCGCAAATGAAGCCAGTAAGCAAAAAGGTAAGATGGATTACGTTGTGATTTCATCCACATGCTTGTTTGCAATAAGAAAGAAATCCCTTATTTACCCTTTATTTTTTAATAGTACAAATTGAAAAGAAGGAAAAGACTGGTATGTACCTTTGGGATATACAGTTTTTAACACGAGAAGATAAAAGTCATATCTTCAAGCCACCGTGTAATGTTCTGATTATTATATAGTCCAGAGCAAAAAATGTGAAATTTCACGTTCAAAAGAAAATTGGAAAAAGTCACGTGATCGATATTTCCACCAGTGATATCACTAGCTGTATATTTTTCAGTATCTCACTCTCTACTATATATAATAAACGTGTATAATACTTTATATATACATTAGAAATTATGGATAGATATATTGTATATTACAAAGAAGAGCAAGTTGCCAAATGGAGATTTACAGTAAGAAGTTCATTTCGAAGAAGTTCGTAGCTAATTGAACAATTGATCTAATATTACAATCCAAAGTGTTGTGATCTTTACAACCCTGGCACAGCAGTTTCTGCTTTTCCCAATACACCCTTTCGATAATTACGTCATTTGGCCTGGGAGCCCCGCTCTCATGAATCGTATTTACGGATGAGAGCGAGGCTCCACGACCAAAAAGTATGTGCGACGTAATTATCGAAAGGATGTGTATTTGTCTAAGTTTGCTATAAGGGTATAGAAGATATAGTCTCTGCGTATACTGTTATACAAATGGTTAGTTCATCATCAACGTACCAGTTCATACCATGAAATTTTCATGATTTCTTGCAGTTTTAAGAGGTCGTGGTAGGGTACATCTTTACCAATTACGTTTTGGTGGCGGAACTTCTTTTTTTATTCTACAAAGTAATGTAAATTTGTGGCGACTACCTTGTGTGTGTGTATTTCTTCTCCAGGTCGTGGTGGTGCAAGATCTAGTAGTCGTGCTGCGAAAGTCGCTCTGATGAAGATGAAATTGCACGCCGTTGGCGACGCATCTACACCACAGGTAGATCACCAGTGTTTGTCAATATCACAGTCGGTCACCCATTTTCCAAGCAAAACACTATTATGCATGTAGTCTACTAACTGCTCTGCACTGACATTTGCCACATTGCCATTAATTTGAATAATTTTTCCTTCACTCTCTTAAACCAAAACACAATCTCTTCCTAATTTAGTACTGAATACTTTATAGTCAGCATATTCATTTAACAATTATGTTACTGCTTTGAAAGGAGGAACGTGTTTATTTTTCAATAATTCTACCGGATGAGTCAACAGAAAAATCAAAACCAATGTTCTTTTCAAAGGTACTTGTGCATTAAACATAAGGTGGTGACGAAGTGTTTTCATTTTGTTTTAATTAGATATAGAATTGTAGAAACATCCTAGCACTGTCATTCTCTGCCTTGTGTTTCTAGAAATGGAGTATTGGACGAATTATCGATCAAATCTCTAAAATGTGTAAACTAAGGAACGAAAACAACCGACAATTATCCACGGTATTACAGTTTTTATACTATTTTTATGGCATGTTATAGTATACAATTTATGAATGTTTATTAGTGCAATGGTAAAAATATTTTCATGAGGTGAAAGGCCGAGTGAAAATATTTTTACTATTACACCAAAGTAAATCAATGTCAATGATATCGATTTGTTTATTGAATGAAATACCTGAGCTACATGTACATAATGTTCAAAATTATTGATAGAAATCGAACGCGAAATTGCACGCTCAGCAAATTGGTAATTTTTATCCCATATCACGTGATCATAATCAGCCAATTAAATGATCGATATATTTGATCGATATATTAGAAGTATGTAAATGTTTTCGCAAAAACCCAGCAGTGTTATCATAGCTTCGACAAGGCAACTACAATCAAGTGCAAAAATAAGGCTTTTTATATTTTCATCCTCTGTTCTAAGTTCTTGCCTCCACTCCCCCCCCCTCCCCTTCCCCCGTAGACCGATGTTGAGCAAAAAATTGAGCTGACCTTCCGCGTTAAGGGGGGAGAGGGGGGGGGGGTATTGTCTCAATAATTTTTGCAAGTGATTTTAGGTTGACTATGCTAATGAATCGCACTCACTTCCCACTCACTTCCTATATATTCCATGTTTGAAATTAAAGTTTCATCTATTACATGGAAAAGATACGTACCATTCAAACACGATTTTGTAGTCTAATATTTTACCAAAATTGAGGAAATTTTGCAGTAAAATATTTTACCAAATCTGGTCACCGACATTTTCATGACTTTCAACTGTGCTGTACACTGATTTCTCTTTTTTATGTAGAAACTCAGGTTGTTCGAAAAGTTTCCGAGAAGGCAATTGACAATAGGTAAATCTTTAGAAACAGAAATGAACGAGAATTCAGAAACGCTTTTCAGTGGTTCAGAATTAATTTTAGAGTATGTAGAAACCGATATGTAAATATCACAGTAATGTCACAAGAAATGTAGAAACCGATATGTAAATATCACACACACACTTTTTAGAGAACTCGTCGGTAAAACGAAAATTATACGTAGGAAAAAATTAAACTTGTCAGTAAATACACCCTTTCGATAATTACGTCAAATGGTCTGGGAGCCTCGCTCTTATATGAGTCGTGAGCCAATCACCTTGCGTAATTTACTGTTGAGAGCGAGGCTCCAGGACCAAAAGGTATGTCTGACGTAATTATCGAAAGGGTGTATTGATTAGAAATGGTTGATGTTGGAAAGCACTTGGTGTTCCAAAACACCCCAAGACAAAAATAACGTCGATGATAATTTCGCCACTGGAACACCCCCTCTCGGAATGGTAAATGAAAAGACAAATAATGATCAACAGACGTATATAGACCGATTTTCTCAATATATAAAGGTGTTAAAATCATAACTTCTGACATTCGCACTCTCGCTCGTTTCACATGCAGAGCAAAAGTGCCATCATGTTGTAAACGATAATAAACAATTATTGAATGAAGTTGAGTTTTGTGAGCCGTGTGTTTAGTCAATAATTTATTAACTGTAATTTTTAATAAAAGCTATACAGTAGTTATAGTATATAATAAAGATAACAACCGCTCTATCACTTGGTACAACAATTTTTTAGATTTACTGTAACTAAATATCGACACAAAATTCGCTATACTATACATTATTATTCATCAAATTATCTAACTACGAAACATATACAATCACGTAATTCTGTAATGCAATTTCGCAAACATTAAAAACATCAACAAGGGGAGATTTCATTCCCCGAAATTTTACCCAAATTATCAAAGTGTTCTGTAATCGAATGTGTTTTATATATCGTTGGTTAAACCCTGCCTGCTTTGGCGACGGCATTAGGGTCTTAGCTAGACCGTACTTGCTATGTTCGTTCGGATAGATATTTCAAGGTGCGATAATGCAAGATATGTCGTGGCACTGGTACTCCAATAATTATCGTATACCTGAGCTGGTACAAACTTAACTTAAGACTCAAGGTTCTGAAAGGTATGAACAAATTTGGCTATAAGGTTGTTTACATCGTTGCTGCCCAATTCAGAACTTTGGTTTGGATAGCTTGCATGCCTAGTTAGTGTTCTGGTTTACAGACGCGAAGAACAGAACAAAGGTAACTAAGCATCAGAATTATGTATAGAGTTAGAGAGTTTGCACATGACGTCACAACCGCCATGTTGGTGTTCCTATTCAAAAGAATTGTAATTAGACTCTTTTGTCTGGAACACCAACATAGCCGCCATGGCCTTTGTTGAGTTGGTCCCTGAGAAATGAGTGCAAACGCTCTATTCCCTCAATGTAGAACATTCTAAAGCTTAGTTGCCTTTGTTCTATTGTGCCTCGGTAGACTAGAACAACAGTGCACCTTACATGGTACTTGGCTGGAAAAAAAAGAGAAGTACCAGAGTGTAATATATATTGGCATACCTCCGGCACATAAGTATGCGATTTATCCGCACCTTGCATCTGTCTTTGTTTCAACAAAAACAAACTATCCAGACAAACTAGCTAGAATAACACGATCTATACTGGCTAGAATCCTGAAACAGATGCACCACTTTAGACTGCTGTGGACGAATTCTTGGCGCAAGTTCGTTCGTACAAATCATCTTCCAGTATAGATCGTGCCAGTTGCATTTTTCTTGATATATACAATCATACTGGCTGTAAACAGACTTTTAGCCAGAGTGTTAAAACAAGACGTCCAAAAAACACAGCGGGTGTGACAATCTAATTCACTCATAATCCAGTGTCTTTTCGACAAAAAAGGATCGAAAATTCGAAATGTATGCAATATAGATAAAGTTAACAGCAGCCGACAACTTCTGAGGTATTCAAGAAATATCACAGATTTTGCGAGTTGCTGTGTTTAAAGAAAACCTTTTTTAGGCCATCTGTTAGAATGGGGCGACATATGACGTTTGGGCGACCACCTGGCTAAATGCTTAGCTGTAAACCAGGCAGTCCCGTAGACATTGTGTTGTGTACAGACATATTAAATGTAACTAAATACAAATCTCTAAAACTATACTTTCTACATTATACATTACATGTGCGTAAATATTGGTGATTTCTTGACCAGCAATGTATATAAAGATGCTTAATAGATCAGGTACTACCTTGACAAATTTGTTTTTCATCTTAACAGTTCAACTTTCTACACTGATTCCTGTGTATTGTAACAGGCCTTCGTTCACGTCCTTGTTTAATAATGTTGCCCAACAAGCCAGACAAGACTATTCAACAATTCCATAAAAATTAACGTGGTACTATATTTAATTATTATTGTATGGAAAAAATTCTCTATTCTTGAGCAAAACCTTCGGTCTCTTCAATGGCAAAAGTTAGTTTTTCTACCAGCTGTTCGTAGCTCTTGTACGGAGGCAAATCGAGACGGTTAAAGCTATGAAAAGCGAAATATAAAATTGATGAATGCTTACAAGATGTGCATGGAAGACAAATCTAGGGCTGCGTATTACATATACCTTGAAGGTAATTTTTATCCCGGGCTAATATTACAGCCCGCCTCGTTTATCACAGAAAGTTGAATGCATGAACTCTCATGCAGGGTTCGTAGTCCCTATTTTCAAAGACTTCAAAGATCTTTGAATCAGCTTTCGAAAAATTACACCATTTTTACCCAGTAATTAGTCCCATTAAATCACATCCTCGATATTTGCGAAAACCTTGCTCTTCAATCAATCTATTTTATTAGCTAGGAAATCGTATAATCAAATACTCACTAAAGAATTTAAAGACTTTTAAAGACTTTCTTCGCTATAGACTATTCAAATACCTTAATGACCTGCATTCAAATTTAAAGACTTTCAAGGATTTCAAACACCGCTACGACCCCTCATGGTAATTATGCTTGAAATCAGTTTCAAGTTTTTCTACACAACAGCCGGACTGAAATTTCTTTCTCGGACTCAGGGAACGTTAATCATCGACGAACAATTGCTTGTGCCACCCATCCAAACTCATATCCCTGGCTCTATGCACGAACTATATTTCGAGATCATTGCCAGGCCAACAATATTACAGCTACAGTATTATACACTTACCACGTATGACTCCTAGGAAGCCAAGACTCCTTTCCAACTCTTTCTATACAAAATTTCTGAGGACCATTACTCCCTGTCAAGGAATAAAATATTGTTTACTCAAATCTCGTCAATCGTTTAAGCCCGGATGAAACGAGGATGTAGGAGAGTTGGCAGTCACGTGATCTTGGTTAGCTGTTCTTAATGCTTTCCCAACACTGTCATGTATTTTATTTATGTTGTATCGTATTTGAAGCATGAAACCTTTATTTTTGTTAATCTACAGCCACAATCTTGGACATATACTGTAACTAATCGAGACTGCCTTTTCCTCTATACAAGATTCGCATACCTCTTACGATAAATTCCATGTTAAATCATGTTGCATTTCTTTAGCCCCCAGATTCATATTTTTTCAGATTTTATTAAATTGCAAACTATTTAAACATTGATTACATATATACACAAAATAATATGATACATTATCCCCCAATAATATGGTACATATCCTCCGCTCCCCCAACTCAATGTTAAGCTTGTGTCATGGTAATTTACTAAAACTTGTTTCGGCGTTGTTTACTCCATTGAACTGGGGGAGGGGGAAGTTTGTTTTGTTCATGTGCATTACACGCCCCCCCCCCCCCGTGGAAATCAGCTACGGTTGACGGGGTCAGCGTGTATAAATAAAGTTCTACTACTATTGCCTGAAATGGTCTCAAAGAGTTACGACCAAGATTGTAGAAATGTCCCCAGTAACAATTCGTTAATGTCAACTCTCATTTTCGTTTTGCTATGCGAAGGGCTTTATGGAAACAAAAAATACTTGAAAGTTTTATATAAAGCAGTGCCCAGCTCTTACCCATTAATTCATTAAAACCGCCAACGGGTAAACGACATGTCCCGGTGACAAATTGCAGAAGACGAGTCCGTTTCTCATTATCAAATGATTTCACGGCCTGAAAGAGACAAACAGAAATGTTGTTAAAACGGTTAATCATTGTTAACGCAGACTGGATTATAATCGAGAAACTGGCAAGCATTACATTACATTATATTATCATTACGGTATTACATTACGGAATGAAACGCGATAAAAAGTTGTTTCTGAGTTTAGCAACCAACGTTGTGTTTGGACAACTTTACGTTTGTCAAAATAGTGATGACATGGACATTGGGAGTAATTTTGCATTTTGCAAAGGTTAATAATCTGTACATTTTAATCATACTGCAAAGGTGCCAAAGAGGAATTTATGACTTCGGCTTGTTATTGTCTTGACTCAATACTGTTGAAAATTACGGTTGTCCAATCACAAGGCAACGTTGGTTGCAAAACTTGGAAACAACTTTTTATTGCGGACTGGGGTTGTGGCTTGAATGCAAATGTAAGGTAGAATATTCCCCGCGGTAGAAAATCCGCATTGTCTCAAAACAAAGTTAACAAACCTGCCAAAACCAGATCACTTGTCTGCTGTTTCTTGTGTAATGTCGATACACTGTATTTCTCTGCCAGTCGTCCACATCAACCTCTTGCATTCCACACAACATCAACTGAAAACAACACGTAGACAATCATATACATATGATGAAGTTAAATAGATTCAAGCAAGGTTAACAGCAGATGTATTATTCATGCATGTTGACGTCCGTTTGGGGGTGTCCAAAACTGGGAACGAACAGTTCATTTTTTGTCAAGTTCAGCACATTTTTGTGAGAGTCAAGCACTGATATACCTATAAGTCAAGTGAGAATGCGAGATATTTACAGCGAGGCGATTCATATTATTAAACATTCCTTAATTTTAAACCTTTAATTTGCGAGTGATTTTAGCGAAGTGATATAGTTTTTGTTGCATGGGAATCACTTTTGGAGGCAAATTTTCCAAACCGGGGAAGCTAATGACGCCACAGCCGTTAAGGGGTTCGTGCCTTATAACCGTTCGTGTCGCCCTGATCGGATCAATTGACCACAAACACACCTACATCCAAACACTAATACTACGCCGTATGTATGCCGCAAGCACGCGATTTATCGCACATGCAGTATGACATTAGGTTAATAGGTTACCTATGTTCTTCCTATGTAAGGACAACATCACAGGCAGACAAGGGTCGCGTGGCAGATGTGCAGATGAACAGCTTACCTCTAGCTCTCTCTCATCAAAGTAAGCCAACCAGTAAAGTGGAACGACATTATTAAATCCTTCAAGGAACGCTTTGGTTTGCTCTTCAATACCACGATTGAGACGCCATTCAGTCATCAGACTAAAAATAATTGTAAACATCAGATGCAATTATGCTCGCACGCCGACGTCATGTCGAGGCGCCCATGACGTCACATCATGTAAGAAGCTTAGATTACGCTGTGTGGTTTTGCAGTCTGCCGTTTCTGCTTTGCCTTGTTTCAGTAAGTTATGCGCTCGTCTATCCCTGCTTCACGGTCATTTGCTATAAAAGCAATACTTCCACCCATTTGAGGCTATATACACAGTTACAGCGTTGGACCACAAACTGTAGTGTTACTAGCCAGGGGCGCCAAGAATAAAATTAGGACGAGAGTGTATGAGAGTTGGCAATCACACGTCCTTGGTTAGTTGTTCTTAATGCTTTTCCAACACATCATATGTTCTATTTAATTTAAACCTTTATTTAGTCGGAGCACTCGTCAAACCTTTAGTTTACCAACTCTCATCAACTCTCATTACTTTACCTACAAAAATCTCACCTGATATATTCCTCTTTGTTTTCTTCGGTGACCGCAATCTCGGAGCCGCCAGGTTTCAGTTCGTGGGTGGAGATCTTGCCGAGAATCTCTTGGTCAGTACAGAAGAACATTTCCATATCAATTTCATCTATATTGTTCTCTCTGTGGAAAGATAATTTTTCGACATTAGCTACCAATTCAGTGACGTAATGTTATTGTATTAGATATTGGGGCGTAGCGACTATATTCTCGCCTGAGATTTGTAGCCAATTTCTTGATTGACACAAAATGGACAATCCAGATGATCTATAATAGTTACACTGGATCGACAGAGAACTGAAGCCATTGAGAATATGACATAAACATAAAAATATTCTGACCTGTCGTAATTGCCAAATATTGTTAATAAGGAAGTCTAAAGTTACCCCAGTGACTTAATGGTTAAACGCATGCAGTGGCAGTGTCGCGGTTATATGGGATCAATTGTTTCGTGCAGTTGGAAAAATCTCAAAAAAAAAGCCCACAAAGACTTACTTTATCCAAACCAAGGAATTATAAAACTCTGGATCGACGGTCTCTAAATCTTTCATGACAAGCTTCTTGTTCAAAATTCGTTTGTAAAACGGCAGTGTGAAGCCACGATCAATAAACTTGCCATGGAACAACGCCTGAAAATACAGAGTAAATAATAAATTATAATACAAATGCATACGTAAAGAATACACTGCGTTCATTACTTTTTACGAAATGAATAGCTATCTACTACTGCATGATGAGTTGCTAGGTGTAAAATTAAGAGATTTTTTGTATGTTACGAAACACGTACTTAAAATTAATGAGTATAATATATCGTTTGGTTATAACTACATTCAAAATTTTTTAATACGTTCTTAATCGGGAAACGGATTATAAGTGCGTCATCTGTGAAATAATGCTAAAATGAGGAGACTTTAGATGGCATTTAAAAGGCTGTGTTTTAAACTAGCAAAAAAAGAAAAAAGAAGTAATTTTGGGAGGTATAGTACTCCCAAAATATTTTAGGTTTCAAACGCAAATATGCGACAGAATTAAAGTCACCTACCATGGCAACAATCCTTCCAATAAATCTGAAGTACATCAAGTGATCAGGATTCACAGACGATGCTGAAGAAATATAAAGAAAAACTTAGATGAAAAGCACCTATTTAAGTACATGAAAACCACTATATATATTATTCAGGATTAGAAAGCGTCTTTGATTTAAAAGAGCCTGGGAACGAGGTTGCTTTGATTTCTTTTGAAATACTTCAATTTCCTGCAGTCTGTAATAACACTAGACCAACATGGAATGACCTCAGCGTGAGACTTGAGTTCTGGGTAAAACAGCATATACATGCATGCATGTACAATAGTAAATAAGTTGTTAAAGAAAATTTTCAGTACGTGGTGCATGTATTTTAGGCCTCCAAATAGCAAACAAATATGGCCTGCCAATTTTGGCAGGTTAAAAAAATTATGGTCGGCCATGGCCACTTCTATTTCTAAACTGCCAATATGGCCTCACTCAGGTACTGTATGAACATAAAATGTTAATTTTCTTCATGCATATCAATCATTCATGTATTTTCCTACTTACTGTAACTGTTTTATTTAACTATTAGGGACCTTCAGATTAACGTCACGGCAAAAAAATGGCAACGCAAACCGATTGTGTCCTCAACAATTGGACGCCATTTTGTTTTTGTAGAATTTCGCCCGCCATTTTATTTTTGATTTGATTTGATTTCTGAAATATGGCCTGCCTTTGCCCATCAGCAGGCCGCTATTTCGAGCTCTGTATTTTCAGTACATCCCGTTCAACATCCATGCATTGTCTGCTGTTTATATCACGTTCAAATAAAATGTGCCCCAACCACACAGAGTAGACTAGTGGTTTAATTAACAAAACAATCTGTATACCTGGATTGATTTGAAGTGTGTAGTTGTTATCATTGGTATATTCAAACAAGCAATACATAGGATTGAGAATTTCGTGGGAAAGAAGGAAGAACCATTCTCTGCAATAAAAAAATATATATATAATTATGAAGATAAGGACACATACTTAACCTAAATATATGCAAAAGTTCGTGTAAAAATGATTAAACAGTCTATTTCCATCACATTTTCGACTTAAATATTGATATGTTGTCAATCAGTAAATTACACGTCAGTCGATGAGGTATTAGGTATATTAAGGGAGATTATGGTACCAAGATGGATTTTTTAGCCTTAGCAGAGTCTCCAACTCCCTTATCAAATTAATCCAAGAAGTAACATGATTGTGAAATTGTCAAGCACGACTACAGACTAGTGCCTTGCTGCCGTAGCTCCCTCTAGTGATTACGCACTTGGTCAACGGTCCCACCCTAGCTGAACCATGACCAAAGCTCCCCCCCCCCCCCCCCCCCAATACCAGACCTGACTCGATCCATCCCTGCACAGTACTATTGGTCAGTTGGTCGAATATGATAAGTCATATTGAAACTTAAATAAATACATATACAAGAGAAAAACTAAATACATAGACAGGAGAAACTTCCTAGAATCAGTCTTGTTAACGGCAGAGTATTAGTGTTTGGAGGTAGGTGCCGTTTGTGGTCCAAGGTCGCAACTAGCCTTGATGGCAAGAAGTATTGCCATAGCAGCTGCGCAGCAACAATGAGAGGAGCAACAATCAGTAATATTAGCAGCAAAGAGATAGCCATGACAATTCTGCCAAGGCATACCTCCACAATGATCAGTATTGATAAAGATTATCTGATAAGGACTAAGTATCGAAAACTGGAATTTCATTCTTTTAAATATTAAACTATACTGTACCTTGCGACTCCACCATAGTCAAGGCCTTCCTCTCCTTTGAACGTGATGTAAAGACGACGACGAAGATCATGAGCTTGAAAACGCATTACCTGAAGATCACAAATGAACAGCAATGTTATTAAGTTTTGTATCCATTCACAATTGAAATTGCTATACTTGTTATTTAAGGTCCGAAAACATCTTTGATAGGAAAATGTTAAGAAAATGCATTAATTCATGCAGCTACTGTATCATTCAAAGGCCCTCTCTACGGTGATGCAAGCAAGGCTGGGATGGTATATGCACGTAATAAGAAGACGTAGAGGTAGAGGAGACCGACAAGAGACATTAGAGAGTTTTAGCAGCAACTACGAGTGCGAGTACGAGATTCGTCAAGCGAACGCATGCTTGTATGCTTTCGCCATCCCGTACTGACGCGAAAAAGTCGTAGCCGTCGCCAATCTGAGAACGAAATTGTGGAGAAATCTCGTAGTCCTCACGACGACTTTTCAAAAAAACAAAGAAAGTTGGCTTTTTTTTTGTTTTTCAAAAATAATTTATAGCGTTTTTCCGGGAAAAATAATCTATTTGTACTAAATATCTGGCTTGTTTTTAATGTTATGACTTATTTGCACATTTTGTACAGTAGTGGATTTTAGCCTGCAGGAGATTTAGTTTATAGAAACCTTTCTTTCGTTGTTTGTTTACTACTATAGAAGCAACATTTGAACGGAAACGAGAACGACTACGGTGATTTCCTCGCACGCGATCAAATCTCGTACTCGCTGCTAAAGCTCCCTATTAGAGTGAGCAAGACAACGATGTACGAAGACCTACTTCCCGACAGAAGCCTTAATTCGCTCGAAACGTCGAAGTTCTCCTTGAATTCTTCAGGTAGTTGCATCCCTAACAATCCGAAGTTTTCTTGTAATTGGCACTACCTACATTGGCACAGATTGTTACCAATTATTGCCGATCTGCACACTATCTTGCGCATACTGAGTTTTGAGGTCACTGGTGGTTACTCAACTTGCCTTCCCGTTAGGGACTGGCCATAAAGTAACTGCTAGGGTGGGCTGGAGGTAAATCACAAATTTTGCCAATAAGTTTGGTGACCCATCTTAGGATGTAGATAAAAATTTCAAAGCCCATCTAATCTTACAAAACATTTTTCATGACCCACCCAATCTAAATTAGTTAAATATACTTTTATAATAAAAAAAAAACTTGCAGGTATATGAACATTGTAAATATACACGGCACTGTATTGACATACATAATTCCACCAAGCTTGACCAACACATTAATACTGAGCTGCTCTCCAGTTGGTTGTATTTACTGTGATTCGACCACTTCTTGTTGTTGTATAAACAAAGTACTGGCATCATTAGCATCATTTGCAATTGATAATTTGGATTCAATAGCATCATTTGCAATTGATCATCATTCAATAGCATCATTTGCAATTGATAATTTGGACAGTTTTGTTTACTTTTATTATTAATATCTTTATTTTTTGAAGTAGACATGCATGCATTTTTGTTTGATGGCCCAACCGTGGACATACAAAAAAATTGGCGGCCCATCGCAACTACCCAAAGACTTTCCATGGCCCATCCCAAGTCACTCCAGCCCACCCTAGTAGTTACTTTATGACCGGTCCCTAATATTGATTCATTTCTCGCTGTTTATGAATACTGACCGTTTTCCTTACCCTGACACACGCAGACAAAACAGCCAGACATGAAACTATATCTCGTCTCTCTTCTTCTGCCATCGTTCAGAACCAAGTTCAAGATGAATTTGCCAAAATAAGGGCAGCGAATGCGGGGAGGTTTGGGGGTTAGGATTTGACTAGAGCTATATGTAAAATAGAAGACATGGATTCTTACGAGACATTAAATATATTCCATACCTGTTGGAACGAGTCTTCAAAAAGGTTGGTCCGAGATATTCCAAGTTTTACATGACTGGGCAGAGCATTAGCCTAGAATGAAAGTATTATATAGTCATCAAAACAATTCATGTTACAGTTACTTACATAACTGTGTAGCATGTTACTCTGCAGGGTATGAAATAACGTTCCCAAAGTTCCCGATCATGGTAATCGACATTCATAACTTTCCATGCTTTTTCAGGTTGGAAACCCTGCTTTTCCGCCGATCATAAGCAATTTCTTGCCTATCATTCATCGGTGATCGGCAGTTATTTCAAGCCCTGCTAGTCTGGAACACAGCTATTGCATTTTCGTGGAACACCCTAAGTAACCAAGGCGCTCTGGCTCAACACAATCTCTACCTGACCCAGTGCAAGCGACAAGAGGATGGACTCCCTTGCTGTACGGCTGATACCGACAACAGGCTTTCTATGCTTACTTACTGTACATACTTATAAATGGCATTCTTACCTGACACAGATATCTGAACTGGCACACTTTCCATCGGAAGCTTCGTTCATAAGCAATCGGACCATGCCCAGGTCTATATAGATAAACAGGAGAATACGTAAGTTAGTAAGTAACTTTCTCGGACTCTCGATCGAAATAAACCGAAGATCTATACACTGGCTTGCCTGTAATTTCACATACGAGTTTCACACGAAACGTAGTCTACTGTATTAAGATTTGATGGTCTGGAATCCAGGGCTTTCAAAATTACTCTGAGTAGGTGTCTGTTTTGATAAAGTAGGCGGCTGTTGGGATGGGGCGGTCTAGGGGGTCTTAAAGTCATCCAAATTAACTAGTGTATATTGATTAGATAGCAACACAACTGAGCTCTGTAACCAAGTTATAATGTATCACCACTTCCATTCTTCAACCGAAGATAACTTTAAGATTTAAGATGGAAAATAACTAAATCATTTCAAGGAAATAGTGCGTAGACCTGCAGATTGATGAAAAATAACTTGAAAGCTTAGAGTGGAAAAAGGAGAGCAGAATTGATATTTCAAGTACTAAACAAAGTAACCGGCGGTAAACCTTGTAGCACCTGTCGGAGCTCCGGCGGCCGCCGGCTTATTTTGAAAGCCCCGGGAATCAAGGCAAACTTCGAAGCCACAAAATAGAAGGCCTTTGTTTGATGTTGAACTGCGCCTCACCGTGCACAAATCCTTCGTCTCAACTTCAGTAAATATTATTCATCGTGGTTGCACGTTTCATCTCAGCTGTCCCTATTGAACAGTTACTTAAACAAATTAACATAGTCTCAGAGACTCAGACAAAAACATGACACAATGACTTCTTTTTTTTCTGTGTTGGTGTTGTGTACTCAGGTGAATAATATGTTTGCGATGTTACTCTGAGTGCATATCCACACCGGGCGAGCTTGAAAAATATGCCCGGCCACGGTGGGATTCGAACCTACGACCTTTGGAATACTAGCCCAATGCTCTTCCAGCTGAGCTACGCGGTCAGGACCGTTCGAGTAAGTGATATTTCGGAACAGTATCTAGTTCCTTCAATACCAATGTGTTGTAGTAATATGAATTTTTCTGTGTTGGTGTTGTGTACTCAGGTGAATAATATGTTTGCGATGTTACTCTGAGTGCATATCCACACCGGGCGAGCTTGAAAAATATGCCCGGCCACGGTGGGATTCGAACCTACAGTACGACCTTTGGAATACCAGCCCAATGCTCTTCCAACTGAGCTACGCGGTCAGGACGGTTCGAGAAAGTGATATTTCGGAACAGTATCTGGTTCCTTCAATACCAATGTGTTCTACTTCAATACCAATGTGTTCTACTTCAATACCAATGTGTTCTACTTCAATACCAATGTGTTCTACTTCAATACCAATGTGTTCTACTTCAATACCAATGTGTTCTACTTCAATACCAATGTGTTCTACTTCAATACCAATGTGTTCTACTTCAATACCAATGTGTTCTACTTCAATACCAATGTGTTCTACTTCAATACCAATGTGTTCTTCAAGCTCGCCCGGTGTGGATATGCACTCAGAGTAACATCGCAAACATACAATGACTTCTGTTTAGTTTCCAGACCATCATATCCTGATAGACTATGCACAAAATGACAATATACTCACCCGAGGGCTTTCCCCGTGCGTGGATCGGTGAACGTCGTCGTCCTCGTAGTGTGATCGACAAAGTACGGAATACCTTCGTTCGTATACCGCATTTCCCATCCAGGTGGAAGAGATTTGTCTGGAGTAGCCAGCCTATATAACAGACATATTAGCTTAGACAAGTACAGTATGTGAAAACCTCTGGGAAAACTTAGAAACCCGTTGGTGTAAAAATTAACGAACTGTATTATATTTACAGACAAATTGCAACCTGTAAACGTTTTGCTGTAATCTCTGAGGATAGTTCTGAAATAGAATTGCAGTACTGCGTCCTTTCGTGCACTTTAAATTAAGTCCTTTCGTGCACTTTAAATTAAGTCCTTTCGTGCACTTTAAATTAAGTCCTTTCGTGCACTTTAAATTAAGTCATTTCGTGCACTTTAAATTAAGTCCTTTCGTGCACTTTAAATTAAGTCCTTTCGTGCACTTTAAATTAAGTCCTTTCGTGCACTTTAAATTGGATCAGACTCGCTACCAATCCCCGCTGAACTCGATAGCTTAATGGGTAGAAATGGCGGTCTGGAAATCCGAAGGCGAGAGTTCGAATCCCGAGTCACAATAATGTGCAACTATAGTTTTTCATATCTGCGAATGATGAAGTTTTTCGAAACTGTTATCCCTGTTACATATCCGAAATTTAAAAGTTAGTTTGACAAATGCTCATTTCCAGACAGGACTAGATTTTCTTTATATTGCAAATTATATACAATACACTCCATACTGCCATTTTAGAATGTTTGTGTAGTTTATTTCCATACATACTTCACCATTCGTGGATCTTCCCACTGGGTTTCTCTTGTCATGTGATTCACAAAATATACACGACCATTTTGCTCTGTTCTTTTCTCTGAAAAAAGAAAAATACATACAATCATTACAAGGTAAAGCACTTGCCGCCATCAAACGGCTGTTTCGACGAACTAAAGTGAAACTGGACTAGAAATTGGGGGTCGGGATTTGGAGTTTTTACGATGTACGATAAATAATTAAATAATTAATAATAATAATTTTTATAATGTACGATGGCCGGTTCAACGACGCGCTTTCGAAACAAAGAAATGTGTCATGCAAGACAAAAACTGTGAATAATTCGTGGTCCCAGGGGTATTCTCAACGGCGTTATCATTCTCAACACAACGTTAAACTAAGCATTACCACGTCTTTCAAGCAACGTGAAGCTTATTGCGACCCAAGAGGTGTTACTTTTAAAGGATACGGCAATATATTTTTTTTTATAATTTCATTTTAAAGAACTTTTAAAATTATATGTAAATTTTTTTACCGATTTTGCGTAACTTTATTATTTCTTGAGATATTTGAACAGAAAAAATCACAAATCAGCGAGCTTTCCGCCATCTTGGATTTTGGCGGATATGCATGTGACATCATAAGCAGGGTCACGCAAGGATTTTATCCATAGAGCAATTGGTTATTATGAGCCCAAAATCATATACTTCAGTAACTATTTGAAACAAAAAGCTGTCTGACGACTTTTAAAACAAGACTTAATGTTATTTGGTCATTTAGATGTAGTTTTATATGGCTAACCCTGCTTATGACGTCACTAAAATTACCGATGAGATAAAAATTAATCCAAGATGGCGGACAGCAAATTATTTTAACAGAAATAATAAAGTTACGCAAAATCGGTAAAGGAGATTAACATATAATTTTAAAAGTTCTTTAAAATGAAATAATAAAAATATATATTGCCATATCATTTTAAAGTCGAAATTACAGCAAATATTGCATTGTTTTAGCCCAACTTAGAATCAAATATATTCCAAGAATCAAATATATTGAGGTTCAAATATATCCTTTTATGACCTCTCTCCCATGACTTTCTGCAATCTTTTCGGCTCGAAAACACCTTTTTTCGACCGGAAATTTTCCTTGAGCCTCCGTGCATCGCGCCTGTATTAGACGCCATTTTGAAATTCAAAACTTGAAAAAGTTCACCCAATCTTTTCAAGTTGACTCATGCGCAGAACAGATGCGCAGGGGGTGGCACTGCTGCTTTAAGGTTATTTGAAAAAGCTTCAAACACTTATTACAGTAGTCAGTAAAAAAATACTTAGCGCTTATTCTTAAGCTGAAATTCAGACCGCATCGCTAACCTATGTAATTCTAGCCAAGACCCTGTTTCAGTACCTCGTGCAGCCAATATAGATCACCCTATTCTAACTACAGTGTATTTCTCTAGATTCGTCTTGTGTTTTTTAGAGCTGTGCTGTTAACCGAAAGTCGGCACCGAAGATGCGCAAAAGAACCGATAATTTCGGTACCCACGTGTCGCAATCACTTTTAAGGAAATTTCCTTAAACTGAGGGAAAATGAAATTTCACAGGGATTTCTAAGGAATTTAAACTTTATCTTCTATTGTTATCAAAAGAGGCGCTTACTTGGCCTTAAAAAAGGCGAAAACAAAACCATTTCCTTTTTGATAAATTTTATTTCAGAATATATTGATTTCTCCAGTCTACTCATAATCAATCGAGTTGTTTGTGTTTCACTTAACTTGTTATATTAAAGTTGTTTACTTGTTATATCTAAGTTGCGTAGTAGTTATATTACAATTTATTAAGCAAATGGTTTGAATTGTTCTTCTTTTGAAAATACAGACACCGAACCGAGGTTCTTCCAGTTCCAGGAACCGAGATGAAAAGGGTGGAACCGCACAGCTATACTTTCATGTATATCATTAATAAGTAATAGTATAGTTTCTTGCCCAATTTGGAAACAAACATACACGCGTGTCTTTGAAAAACACACTATATTCTATATATTGTATACGTAGAAGTATAGATATACTCGACTCACCCCAGCCAGATGGTAGTGGTCCCAGAGGATCGTTCTGGACAGGTGTTGGCACGTTTTGCTGAAGAAAAACAACATTATTTAGTAACAATGAAAAAAAACGTTATAAAGAAAACTATATATATAAACGACCGTTTGCATGGCTTCAAATTCTCAACAGGAATTTTGAACTGAAGTTAGAAACTTTAAACATGAAGTTAATTGCTTAGGAATATTGAAAATTTCCTAAGTGATTTGCAAAGAGTTTTTCAAATTTGTAAAGACAATTAGAAAAATCAAAATCCTGACATTGAGGTACAGTAGTCACTGGGTCAGATCATATTACTATTCGATACGGAATATGCCGGATAGTTAAAAACACCCAACCAGATGTCGTATATAGTGGATATACATATAAGGTTCAGGCCTAATCATTCAAGGTTAAATAATTATTTTCATTGGTTACAAAGTGATGGTGTTTATAATATATGGACTTGAAATGATAAGAAAAAACTTCACAGTGCAACATCGATAAACATGTATGGTTGAAAAAACCTTGTTCAAAGAGTTCAAATTTCAAATCCACTTTTCGCATTTGGAAACGAGCATGGAAAATCTAACCTGCATCTGTTACTCATATACTTCAGAAATTCGCTTCAAGCCTGTTCTGAAAATTGCGACATTTTTCATGTTTAACAGTTACTCACTCACCGGGAGTAAAAATCTTTGTTGAAAATGCGTCCTTTCATTCTGCCATTGTGTTCTCTGATGTTGAAAGTTTTCAAAATTCCTTACAGTTTCCAATGTGGGTCGTTGCCATGTTGTTGTTCTAGTATTATGATCAACATAATATGTTCGACCTCGTGGGTCCGTACGTCTTTCCCAACTGGAATATCAACAAAACATGGATAAGTAAAAGTATATGATATACTGTACATATTTGGATTGCACTATTCGACCCTCGTTAAACTGGTTAGAGCGCTGCACCGGAATCGCAGGACCGCGGGGCCGATTCCTACCAGAAGGCCTATAGTTCTATACTCTTGGTTACAGTAGGCCTATGGATAATAAAATAAATGGATAGGAAACTAGCTGACGTGACCTAATGTTTTCAATGGGCTGATGGCGTGATTGGATGTTGAAACCTAGTTGCAAATCAAATTCTCAAAAACGGCATGTTTAGCAATAATACAGCTAAACATTTTAGTCAAAGAGCAAATAAATATAACTACGCCATTCTGCGATGAAATCTCTAAGTATTCCCAGTGAAACTAAACACTAAACAGTGAAAAATGCATCGCAAATTTCGTTAAAATTGGCGACGCCAATTTCGTAGCTACAAATGTAAAAAAAATACAAAACAAAGGCGAAAAACATTTACCTTGAATACTTTGTCGTAACTTACAGTAGGCATGTTTTTAAATTAAAACAATTAGACCAGTTTATGCTTCAATATTACTCTTTTAAAGCGGAAAATATAGCGAAACAACAAAAATGCTGAGAACTTTGGCAATACACGTGACGTCACAGATTGCAACTAGGTTTAGACTGTGACGTCAGGAAGTTTCCTATCCAGTTATTTTACAATCCATTGTTACAGTATGTAAATCTAATAAATGTATAAAAATTTACACTGGAAATTTCCATGGACAAAACCCTTCGTATATTACAAAGCCCTATATTTTATTCTACAAATTTCTTTGTCTTAGTATATTCAATTACTTTGATGGTTTAAAAAATCTGTCTTTTCACTCTCTCCGAGTCAAATTACGTAATGCTACTAGGCAAGCAAATTACGTAACTGTTAGTGAAAACCACCGGAACGTAATATAACTGGAATGCTACCTTCTGATAAACATGCCTATATGTTCGCTAGAAGCCAAATATCTGGGGCCGGTTGTATAAAAACGTAATTAGCGTTAATGTTAACTGTAGTTAGCGTTAATCACTGTAGTTAAACCCTTAACTGTAATTAGTTAACTACATGACTTACCTGCGTTGCACAAAACGTAGTTAGTCGGATAGTTAACTAATCACGTAGTTAACTGTGCGTGGGGCTTGCGTGGGGCGTTTAAACACAAAATTACATAAAGTAAGCAGTGAGTAACGACCACTGACACTCATTTTCAACATGATGGTGGACTCGTATTTTGCAAATAGGCGGAAATTTTATTCAAAACACTAGAAAACAGTGAAAAATAAACAAGAAAACAAGGAAAAACCGCCACAAAAATCATAAAAGAATGCAGTTTTTCCTTGCGATGTCTACGTTAAACCAAGGTATAGCTGTTTGGCGATTATATATCAGTGTTTCTTGGTGTAATGGACTATACTTCGTCTTCGAGAAATCGTCATGTGCAAAAATATGTTCTGTTTTCGTAAAAACACCAAAGCGATAGCGTTTGAAGAGTTTTATTGTCAGGAAACATTCACACGAAAGATAGCGATTGAAAATCTCAGGTAAGCGTTGCTTTTCATTATTGTTTTACAGAAAAATGTTGTTCACTCCTATACAAACGCCATTTTTAACTACGTTTTGGACAGTTAACTATACCCTAAAGCATAGTTAACTTTAACTAGTTTTTAACTGCAGTTAAGGCTAACTGCACTTTTATACAACCGGCTTAACTGCGTGATTAAAGGCTTTTTAACTACTCTTTAACTGCAGTTAGCGCTAACAACGTTTTTATACAACCGGCCCCTGAACTCTAGCCACGCATGTCTGAAGGTCAGATCACGCGTGTTTATTTCGCGCGACTTTCCCGCACGCAGGTAGAGCAAATTAAAGGCGGACACTCTGCGAAACAGTTGCCAAATATCTGTGAAATCTGTCACTATACTCAGTCAATGAGAAATAGAAAAATATATTACCCGCTTGGGAGTGGTTGAGGCCGTTCCCAGGCTGTTGTCCGGGTATTATGATCAACATAATAAACTCTGCCATGAGGATCAACCCTTTGTTCCCAGCTGGAAAAGAAAAATGTATTACTGGCTTAGTAATTGTGATCAATCTATTAGGGGTTATGGGATTACCTTTCATTCATGCTTAATATACACATCCCCCCTCTCGATGGCGTAAAATTTTTATTTTATTAAACTTTTATTTTTCTATTACTACAATTTCAAAACTGTTCTACACACAGTACGTACCCAGCTGGTAAGGGTTCTTCGTTCGGATTAGGTCGACTAGCAGCACCAGCACCAGCTGGTGGTGGTGTACCATTTACTGAAAACAAAACAAGGTCGAATTAGAAATGCAGATACTAACGGCTCTACCATTCTGTTGATATACATATAGAAAGTCGTTGGATATTGATACTCGTCAGGCTCAAAAACATCCGCATATAATTCGACCCTTTCGGAAAGTACTTAGCCTTGGCTAGTTGGCTATAGAAACTCGTTTTCGGGATTGAGATATCGAGACCTTTATCATGTTACTGATGACCTAGTTATATACTGATGATCTAATTATATCAATTATAATGAGTTACTTTTATCCAGGTGTTCTCGAGTTCTGAACAATACCTCTCCTAGTACTACAGTCACAGAAGAAGTTGAGATGGGCGGTGGTATACGAAACCCCGGTCCGTGACTAGTTGCTGGGTAATGTGCAGCGACCGGGAGAAAGTCAAGGTTATAGTGGGACAACGGGGCTACGATCGAGAAGGGGGTTGGCACCGGTGGGGTAGGTCGACAACTAGACAGATACGGGGGTGCGATACGGCTGATCGGTCCCGTGGAATCGATAGCGACAACGTGTTAACAGAGGGGAGCATACGCCGGGATGTACGAAGGACGTAAGGGGCTTTAAGTAAAATGGCGGGGCTGGTTAGTGTTGCCCAGACAAACCCAGGGAATGCAAACTACTGCAATTGAGAGAGCTGTGACTGAGGACTCCGAACCCCAGGAGAGAAGTTCCCAAGCAAGTGGTGCAGGGATCACGGTCCAAGGATGATGTGGGAGTGAACAGCTTTCTCAAGACTGAGGACAAGATTCTCAAGTGCTGAGTTTTTATAAGGTAGGATACGCAAATGCCTCTCATTAGGGGGCCCCCTACTTCTAGGCACTAAAGTGTACAACACTCAGCTCGTTCTTAATATCACATATTTCATAAATCCAATTTTCTTACCAAGGTTATTTGCCTGGGCAGTTCTAGGATATGGAGGTCTATTCCCGCTACTGGGTGGGCTAGCAGATGCTGCAGCAGTACCAGCAGGAACAGGTGGTAGTGGTCTGTTAGGTCCAAATGGTGGAGTATTGGTCCCAGTTGATGATGGCGTACCACTACTTCTTGATGAGCCGCTTGGTGTCGAAGTAGCACCTAGGAGTAGAAATCGTAAATAGCGAGTTATAAGGGACTGGTCATTATTCATGGCGGGGGGTGGCACCGAAGAGAAAAAGGTTGGGTAAACAAAATTTTGAGCGAGTAAAAGGTTGCCAAATAAATGGGTAAATGAAAAAAAAAACTCAAGGGTTGGGTAATAAAAGTTTGTTGCCATTTCCAAAGCATCACTCATTCAAATATTGAAGACTAAAAAGCAATGTCAACAGTCATATCAATACAACGTGTAGGTCAATCAGAGTCACTATCTTGATCATTTTCCGCTTTGTCAGGAGGCAAATGGTGTCTCCAAAGAAAGTACATGTGCAGATTACATGATATTTTAGACTGCAGAAAATGGCACAGTTATCAAACTCGTGTCACTGAAGGACATCTGTAAGAACTGATTGGTATCCTTTTGTAAAGTTTTTTGCCAGGGGTGGGTATTTATTTTTAAATTGATATTTGAGGTTGGGTAAAAATATTTTTGGCTTTATAATTGTTGGGTCAGCAAAATTTTTGCCAGTAAAAACATTTCTCTTCGGTGCCACCCCCCATAAATAATGATCCTTCCTTTAGAGAATTTGGCAACCGACATTGTTTTCACGGCTAAGAGGCTTCGTGGTTCTTCGAGTCCCGTTTGCACCTTGCCCATTTAGGGTCATTATTTTGTTAGTTTAGGTTTATAAGTGTAAAGCCCTGGGCAAACTAGGAAACATTGTTTCACTGCTCATCGTTTCATTGCTCTTTCAAGCTGAGATGAAATTTTTGTCTAGACTTGTCCAGATCAAAATTTTGTTCATTAGGGAATAGGTCCATTTGACTTTAGAAGAAAATTACCTGTTGGCGTGTTTGATTGTTGAGGCACAACATTCCTTGTAGTCTCTCTGTTAGGAGTTGCAGTCTGTGATGAATCTCTCCTGGAGGGTGTGCCGCCGTTACTTCTCGAGGGAGGTGGGGGAATAGCTGGTATAACAGGCATGCTGGTCCTTTTGGGGAGTCCAGGAGGGTTAGCAGCCCCCTGAGGGGTACTAGCACCAGACGCGCTGGAGGAACTAGCATCCACACTTGCAGGACGGGCTGGGCGCGGCGTTGGACGAGGAGGACGACGCTGTTCGTCACCGTTTGGAATTTGCCTGAAAATATGATGAATACAAAGCCGGTTAAGACGGGCAAATTGATACACGGTGGGTCTTTAGGCAATATGTTGCCGCGACGAAATTAATGCATGAAACGTGCAATTTATAAACTTTGGTTGCAGTAACATGTTATGTTGGAAATTATCATTAAAAATCGAAATGACGTCAGCTTTACTCTGTTTTGACCAGTGAACTCTAAGTAAACTGGAACGATAACTCCAGTGATTAAGTCCTATGATTGGTTGAAGCAAAATTCGAAGCCAAGCGCGGGAGCCGCGCGGGATAAATTAACTTTCAAAAGAACTAGGGAGAGTTTGTTTTTGAGCGAAAATTAGCAAGAAAAAAAACTTTTTTATCAAAAGGCTTCAATTTTAAAGATTCAAACTTGGTTGTATGGATATAGTTCTAAGTATTTTACAACAGTTTCCTATTCAAAATATTACACAACGAAAAAAACTTCGCACTTTGACTCCTGAGAAAAGAATTTTAAAACTGCTCTACGTTCCGAAAACATGTTTTGTATTAAATTTCAAGTTCTATTGTTAGCTTTTTTCCTTGTTCAAAATTTCAACACAGCTATTTATAGCTCGAACGGATGTCTTTTAGTTTTAGGCGGCGTATTATCCACTCCATACCTACTGTACATGGCGGCCTTCAGTTTCGTTTCAAAGATGGCGACCAAGTTATCGTTCCAGTCCTTTTAGAGTTCACTGGTTTTGATTGACGTTATATCATTGTAAAATTGGTATTGGGTAGACATGAACAATCGGTAATTTCCGATTTTGGCATAATCGGTCAATCTCTATTATGACAAGTGCCCTTGTTCTTTTGAGCTAACATACCAGACGAGCAAATTAGCAAATGAATACTTGAAAAGGAATGTTTTATAGCTGCATGACAATAAAAAGCTGCGATAAAATATTGCTTCAAACCTGACAATACAAAGTTTAGCAAAAGTCACTATCAAGCCACTCATATTAAAAGTACGGGTTCTCATATTAAACCTGAATGATCAAGAGGAGATTTTTTGTGATGTTACATAACAATGCGTTCAAAACTATTATGATCATAGATATCTTATATATACACTAGATAGTGCATCTAATTATTCTGCAATTCAAAAATTGAAGCCGTGATTTACAGTCACAGACTCAGGATATTCCCATGAAATGAGAAGACTCGTATGTCCTCTATTCGTATGTCTTCTATTTCTTAAACAGGGAACTTAAACATTAAGTTAAACCTATTCCAAATACATTTTCAAACTGTTCAAATGATGAAAGTTATTGTTGTTTTTTAAGCGTTTATTAGCTTGTGGGAACGACCAACATGGCCGCCATCTATTCAAATGGGGGTAACCGCTGGAATATTCTTGGCTTCAATTTTATTTAAAGAGATGCGCTATCTAGTGTATATAAGATATCTATGATTATAATGAGGAAAATACCACTTGGTTATGACTGGCTACATTTCAAAATTCTCAATTTTTTATACCATTTTTTCTGTTTCTCAACGGCGGATGCTTTTAGAAAGGTGCAGCTAAGTATATATGAACTAGAAAATAAAGCTAAAACAACGTAATATTGGAAGGTACGCCAAAGTGATTTTAGGTTTTGAACGTTTTTCATCGCATATACGTGCACGACATCTTAGAAAGTCAAGTTTATGAAAAGCTTTCGATTACAGAAAAACTCTTTGTGTAGAATATTGCTCGTTGATGTATATATTGGATTCAATCTTACCGCATAAAGAACTCGATATCTTGCAAATTAGACCGCAACTTACAAAATAGCTTTGAAGATTAAGCATGCTTTGAGCCTAAATTACATCCGGTTACATAAGTAAAAATCACACATCTTAATTGCCAACAAGATGCGTTCGCAACGGGCTTGTAGGACGCTTGTCAACAAGTTGTAACAATGTTGTCAATTTATCAAGTTGTTGCAAGATTGTCACTCACAACTTGTTAACAAGTTGCTGAATTGCAGGACGATAACAGGCTCCCAGAACAAATGGTACTTCGTCAAGTTGACATTTAACCTGTAGCAAATATCAGCAAGCCGTTGGCAGCTTATCAAGAAGCTGCGGACAAACAGTACGAACACATGACGATAACAAGTTGTTGAAACAGCACTGCATGGTACAGTCCAGGAATATAACATAAAACTAATTTAGATAACATGCATCAGGAGTCAGATCCGGTAAAGGCATATTTACAAATGCCAAAAAAGTGTATTATTGGGGACATCTCCCCAGAAAATGTTGAAAAATCAGGTGTCTCAGACTGACTAAAAAATGCATTTGTGAAACAATATTCTGTAGTCTATACATTTATACAGTATTGCACTATTAAGACAGATACACTTATAATCGCATTCTAAAATCATATCTACAGCATACTAGGTAACGTTCTTTCTATTGGGTTTTTTTCTTGGGAAATTATTTTCTGGGAACTTAAAGAATTCAAAAGGAAATATTTTCCAACTACAGTATGTTTAACTTAAAACTTAAATAAATTGTATTGAACCTGAATCGGACTTACCTATTAGCAGAGTTTTGTGGGCTCTCCGATGAACTTGCTACAGCCGCGACAGCTGGTGATGCAGTATTAGTAGCATTTGAATTACTTGATGTTTGCTTGGGATAATTTGCCATGTTTAGATTCTCAATACCATTTAATGTAATACACAATTGTCCTGTATTCACCCCTGATGTTCCTTTGCCATCAACTGTCAAATCAAGTTCCATCTCAAGGTTTTTGACTAAAAATGTCAAAATAAAATCTCAATGTTTTTATCCAGTAAATATTAGATATACTGTAGCTACATGTAGTTATATCCTTTTTCAAATATATAAAAACTAACAGTCATTTATTTTGCATCCCTCAATTCAAAAGGCTTTTCAAACCAGCCTTTAGCCGGATTCCTACTGGAATAACATTAAAAAAAAATTGGCCAGAAAATGAGATTAGTTCAAAAACTTTCAAGATTTGATCACCATTTTTTTTTACCCCTCGGGTAAATCACATCAATAAACAGTACTTTGTTCTAAACACTACAGTATACAGTAAATTAAAATGCTTTTAAATGCAACAGTTCTATGTTCTTTGTAGTGTGATCAATCTATTCTTTCAAAGAAACTGAATGTTATTTTTTCGTTCATAAAAAATGTCAGACCAATTTACCATGGTTGGAAAAAGCAAAAACAGTAATTTGATCGGAAAATGTCAACTGTCCGACTGTTACTTCCAGCTATGAAAGTGAAAACTTTATGTATTGAAATTGAGAAAACTTTGTACACTTACATTGTCCATTATTCCTGTGAAGTAACCCATTGATATCCAGAGAAACTTTGCCAACAACAACATCACTCTTCAGTGGGAACTTACACAATATTTCAATGTCAATTTTACTGTAAGCAGTCACAAGTCTACAAACAACAAAAGAACCCTTTACTGCAATACTCAGCACTACAGGGTATATGGGAATCCAAATTTGGAATCATGGGTGGAAAAATAGTGGAACCATTGGTCACAGAAAAGTTTTGCAGTCAGCAGAAAAAATTATAATAAGAAAGGAAGGACCTTCAGGTACTCGCCTACTTTATGATTTTACTGTCTAATACCCAGCAATTTTACTCATCAAGGGGAGTGTGCTGCCACTCAATGGGTTAAACAGTGATCAGGAGATTAAACAGTGAATTAAACTGCAACACTAACCAATACATGTAATACGATTTTTGGTATGTGTAATATTTGGGTCATTCAAAGAAGAAATGTAATTAGAGCTGCTCCCGATTAATCGATCAATCGATTAATCGATTATTTTTCCACAATCGATTATACTTAACAGTAATCGGATAATCTATAACACAACACAGCGTAATATGGGAATGAGTTAATTTCTTTCCAGATTAAAAAAAATTGCGACATTAAGATTGTGATTGAAACATGAAATGACAAGTTGATTCAAAACATTGTGGGTCAAATATCAAATTCACTCGCAGCGTGCAAAGTTTACCATAGTCTGATCGGGTTACCAGTGCCGCGAAAATATCTTTAAAGTTTTGTTAGAATAATTTATATTAACCATTTGCATCCAACATTGCGGTGTGCAGACATAAACCAATTTATTATCCATAAGAGTCTCTTAAATTTGATTAGGAGTGTCAAAGGTAAACAACCAAAGTAAACTTTCTTAATATCCTTTCTGTTCTTTCACGCATGTCTCTTATGTGAAGTGTAAGAGCGCGAGAATGTGCGCAATATAAAATTGTGATTAACGTTCATTTTAAACGCAGATTTAAATGTTTATACTGACTGGTGAAACCCAAAAAAATTTAGTAAAGTGTATTACAATTTAGAAACCTGTCAAACCACCATGGGCTTTTCATATTTAAATTATTATTATCAATACGATTAATCGATATTAATCGATTGTTGACAACGATTAATCGATTATGAAAATTAACCAATGGGAGCAGCTCTAAATGTAATACATGTACAGTGTATATCTTTATAATAATAATCCCATCTTGATCAACTTTTTCACTGTCAAAGTTTCATTACTTCACATGATACGGCAGAGATTAAGGCAGACAAAATGTTACCAAAATATTTCACAAATTTATGATCTGAAAATATTGAATTTTCGATTCACAAGTCTAATGACAACATTTGATATATGCAATATGGGATTGTGAGCCGCCAATTCGATTTCTGAAACATATTTTCTGTTCAAGCACTGTAAGGATTAAATCCTGTCAAGCAGAATTCAGGATTCAGATGAGCACATAAACTTACACAACAAAACGTTCATTCCATATTGGTTCCCATGTCTTTTTGACCGTCTCTGTTTTCTTCGCTGTTTGATTATCAACAACAACTTTTGCATATGGGTCACCTTTTGCTAAAAAAAAATTCATTATTCATTGTTGACATGTTGTTGTAGAATTTTGCCTGCCATTTTATTTTTGACTTGGCAGACCAAATTTCTATTCGCCTGCCATTTCTGAAATATGGCCTTCACAGGCCGCTATTTCGTGCCCTGGTATTACTTGACATAATATACACTGTATATACAGGATGAGCGACAATGTTGTATCAGATATACACACAAATTTGAGCTGAAGGCGAGAGGTTGTATGTCTGATACAGCACAGACACGAATGCTTTATATAGTTCGAGAAACGTACGTACAGTAAGCATAAGGATTTCAACAATTGTGTTTTAACCCCTGGCAGATAAAAAACAGCTACAAAATCTGAAACTATTTATTTATTTCCTGGCCCTAAGTGTACATGCACATCTGGTAATGAATAATATGTTGGAATAAGCACATACCAAACAGCCAACTACTTTGTTCCTTCAACTTGGCTTTTGTCACTAAAATAAAAATTTGAATTGTATTACAGTCAAATACAGCTCCATGGTAATGAAATTTCTCCATGTTGCATGTCCGTTACACATGTTTTGTAAGAAAAATAATTTTCAGCAGTTCTGCATTTCACATGAATTGCTGAAAAGTAAATTTCCTTTATACTCAATTCTGACCGGACAATCTCCATTGACTGGCCATTATTTCAAACCATGAAAACTGATTTTTGAACGACAGTCAGATCCACCATCTACATCCAAGTGCTAATTAACCCCTTTAAGTGGCAACGCCCCTGATGCCTTTTAATATTACTTTAATTTGTCTAATGCCAGCCAATTTTACTAATCAAGGGGAGATGTTTCAATAGAATTAGGTCTCAAAATATTACCTGATAAATCCAGCTGGAAAAATGTCCTCCTAGACAAAAATAGAAATGATGTCATATATTATTTCAAGGACAATTATTTTATTATATGCAGGGCGTTACCCAGAAGTAAAAAAAAATCCGTGTTTACCTGAAATTGGTAAATTTATTTTAAAATTTTTCCTCCCCCCCCCCCCCCCCCCCCGTCACCAAAAAAATTTCGGTCAGTGTACCATTTTAGGGGTCCAAAAATTTTTCCAGACATATCAAAATTTTTCACAACAATTTTTTGTGTCTTTGAAATGGCATTTCCCACATTTTGGGAGTAATTTTGAGCAAATGTTGTTATAAACATGTTTTTAATGGCGTATTAACAACATAATGATATTGACGGCAAGATACGTCGGTACTGGTCTATTGTCAGATGTGAAAAAAATAATTCAATTTTTATGCTATTTTTTGGCTGACACCCTGATACGCCACACAGACTTTGTGGAACTGCATGCCCTTATATGTACCTAACCATGACAAAGCTGGCTGTTTAAGTCATTTTACTCTGTCTAACATTAGACGATTTTACTTGTCAAGGGGAGAGTGCTGGCACTCAATGGATTAATCAGAACAGCGGCGTTTAGTTGAACAGGGGTGTCCACCCCCATAATATCATTCAATGGATTTTATTCAAGGGGGTGTCCTTACAACCACCCCTCCTCCTACTGCTCACAGCTATGCATTGTTTGTAAAACACAGCAAAAATACTATAGTTACAACTGTTACAGTACATGGCTAAATTTTGAAAATTTGCTTACCCTGCCGAAGAATCTACCATGACAAATTCTAAATCATCAATGCTAACCAATGATTCTTTTAGATCAGTTATTGCAGACTCCAGTTCTATAAATATAATTGTGAAATTCGTTAATAATTCATGAAGAAAACACAAAGGAAATCATGACTATGAAGGAGTTTATATATCTGATACAAAATCATGCTGATTTGCTTTACATCTTTACAATTTGCTGAGCAGGCAGCTAGCTGGTGTCTTGGTCCCAACCAGATTAGCTGCCATTTGGAATGGATTTATCTGGCCTCCTGGTACCAGATAGAAAAGCAAACATTGGAAGACAGGAAGATGAAATCACAAATGCGAACATGGTTTTATCATTAGTCATTATACTGCATTGTAGCAATATACATTAACATTTGTTGCATAAGATGTTGTCTAACATCTCCATTTGAACAAGATGAATTAATTTCATGATGTTAGAAGAGTTCTATTGATAAAGACCTGTTGGCCACAGCAAGTGTTCTCCAATGGTTGATGTAGTTTGTGTATGTGACCATGTGTCAAGCAGGGTCAGATCTACTCTACCTATTGGTGTCTAGCACCCCCCCCCCCCGCCCCAGAGAAGACCAGCAACACCACCTTAAAAAACTGCTTGGCCGTTCATTTTCTGTTTTCCAAATAGCAATTAGCAGAACTTCTACTGTTAGCGTGTGTCGATTTCTTGAAATGATTTAATTGATTTGTGAGCTCATGAGAAAAATTAAATTATATAAACATGTTGAGGTTGTTACACAGCCATATTTTCAAATTACTGTACTTTAATAGGGGTGCACCGGATTTGAAATTTTCAAATCCGGCCGGAACCGGATTTGGACAAAAATTCTGGCCGGAATTCTGGCCGGATTTGAGATAAACCGGTAATGGGGACAATTGGGGATAAATCAGTATTCAAAATGGCGGTTTATGTTTTTTACTATTTTTAGTTAGTGTCAGTTTAGATTTTTGATTGTGTTTAAACCTTTTTTAAATATATTTTTGTTAATAACTTAATATTTTATAATAATATAAGTGTTTTTTAAACTTCAAAGCTGCCAAATTGATGGTTTATCCCATTCTTGGTGAATTTTTTTAAGGTGAAAAGAGAAATTTAAATCCGGCCGGATTTTCTCCAAATCCGGCCGGATGCCGGAAAATTTGTTAAATCCGGCCGGAATTCCGCTGCACCCCTATACTTTAACAAGCAAGTCGTGCATACATGTATGTGATAAACACTATAAACAAAAGATACTGTAAGAAGTAACAGAATTAACAGTGAACATGAAAATTTGGGCATCTCAAATAATGATGTTGGGATAGTAGCGTTGCAGACTGCAGAGGAGAGTGGGCAGTAAGGCTCCCTCGTGCACCACCCCACAGAAAGTCTACACCCCTCCTTACAGACGAGGCTAGATCTGCCCATGGCATCAAGTAGAAATGAAGTCTTATAAACTCATGTTAGTAAGTCTAAATACTGATCTTTAGTTACTTATACAATTAGAAAATACAGGAACTTATACCGATTATGATTTTCTATAACCAATAACACAATAATCGACTGATTCCAATGCTGATTATTGGTCAATCACAAGTAACCCATGACCTAAACAACATTGCCTTGGTACAGTAAGTAAATTTAATTTTTCTGTTGTTAGATTGGGTAAAAAACAAGGCAGGATGAATTTAAACTTGTTTCAAGGCCATTTCACCGGTCGACAGGACATTTCAGCGATAGGACTTTTGGCCGAAATTTATTTGCTAAAATAATGTTGACTGGTGACAGGTACAAATTAATTCTGGAAAAATGGTTTATGAATTTTTTTTTATTTTAAGGAAATTTTAAGGAATTTTCAAAGAGTTTTCACTAATTGAAAGTTAAAAAGTGGAAGCACTGCAATTTTCAAATATATACATCGCAAACAACCATGTCGCAAACTCGCAAATAAATAGGATTTTGGGTGGAATTATAATCGTTTAAAGTACAATCTAACAACAATACCCTCAAAATATACGATCCTTCATCATATTTACAAAGAACTGAATTTACTATTGTATATTTTTATCAATTTCAGAGACTTTTGATTCATGATTTTGAAAACAAAAGGATCAATCATTTATTGAAATTATAGAAAGATAGTTGACAAAAGGGTGAGTAAAGACATTGTTCTACGAGGAGTTTTTTCTCAAAGCACTATGGAACAAAATTTGTTTATAAAGTGGAGGTTGACAAAAGGATGACTCATATACATTGTTATTGTAAATATGGGTGATGGATAGTAAGATCAAATAAATGTTCCACGTTCATAGTTATTTTATGCATTAGTACGGTAAAATTTTTTTGTCAGCAAAACGTCTTGTTGGCAAAACGTTTTGTTGGTGAAATGTCCTGTCGGCAAAACATATGTCGGTCAAAAGTCAGTTGGCCAAATGTCTATCGGCCAAACCTCCGCACACCAGATTGTACATGTATTGTCTAGAAGTTAAATTTGGCAGTTGACAATGTGACTTGTTTTTCTTCATAAACAGGGTGCAAATTAACAGCCTACAAATGACAAATCGTCATGCCAAAAAAACAATTTTGCACGCAAAAAAATTAAACACTTGGAATCCCTTGTCAGATAAATTTATTGCCCATGCAGTGAAAGAAAAACAAAAACTAAAATTGAATATTCAGAATGAGTTTTTTGTAGGTCAAAACTTAGCATCGCCAACAATTTTTGAAATTCACTGTAGGCCAGAAAACATTCTTAATTCGCACTCTGATAAATTGAAGGGAATTTCGAATTTGTGACACTAAAAAACAACTGTAAATAAATGCAAAACTGTGAAATACTGGACGAAAACCCGATAAATATGGATGTTATCGGCCAAGAACCAACAAGACTCAACATCATCGATTATCAGTTTCTATTGATAAAAAATTAATTATCGGCTCATCCCGACAACAGCATGCATTAAATGTCCGATCTTAATAAATTCTGAACTCTTAAATGATACATTTAACACATTATCACCCACCCTTTCCTTCAACAAGCAAAGCATCTGAAGATCTGGCATTCAGTGGCGAAGCCAGCCCGACTATTTGGTCATGCTATGCAAATATTTCCGTGTTCATAGACCATGAAAACAATGAATTCCTAAAATGAATAATGATGATTTCATATTTGCATAGCATGGCCAAATAGTCGGGCTGGCTTCGCCACTGCTGGCATTAGTCAAGTGAAAAAACAAAGTCAACCACTTGAGGCCACATTGCACTTAACAGGTAAACAATAGAATGGGCAGGTGGTCTGGTTAACCATTAGCCCAAATGTGCCGTACATTATTATTTTACTCTGTCTAACATAGATGATTTTACTTGTCAAGGAAAAGAAAGTCATGCACTTTAATGGGTTAAACTAGCAACCTCCCAATGTGTCTTGTTAACCTACTAACACATTGAGCACCAATGCTCTCCCCTCGATGAGTAAAATTGTCTGGCGTTAGACAGACTACAATACTAAAGTACATGTAGGGCACATTACGGCACAGTACAACTTTACTTTGGGTCAACTAAACAATCTGCAAATCCAGCTTCAATTCGCTCAAATTATTATACTCTGTCTAATGCCAGACAATTTTACTCGTCAACGGGAGAGTCTTGCACTTTAAATTTGAAAGAGTCAAATAACAAAGCAGGGTGCTTTAATGACACTGTGTGAATGTCATATAAAAATAAAGAAGCAAATGGCATTTTCAAGACAAACTTAGTTATCACTCGGCCTGAAAAATCTTTGTGATTTTACATGACAAAATTTTCCACTCCGACCAAACTTTGTCAGCTTTGTATGATTTTATAATTGCTAGGTCAAAATGACTAAAAAGCGTTTGTGTTATCAGTTCTTAGAATATGTAGTACATGGAAAGAACAAAAAAACACAGAGGAGTGCCTGAAATCAAATAATTGTATAAATAAACACTGTTGATGTTTCAATTCCTGCACCTTAGCACCTATATAAAAATTTTTAAACTTGCTACACGTTAAATGCCCAATAATGTACGGATATTAAACCCATAAAATACTCATTTAAAACTGTAATTAAAGAGAATGAAATAGATTTTAAGGAACCACAAAAACTTACCGTATTACAGTGTTTCAAACAGACAGCAAAAGTCAAAGACGATCGATAAATATACAAATTTAAGTCAGTCCAAAACAGATCAGCCTACAGAGCCAGTGATATAATACAACTCTAATCGAGCCATTGCAAGGGCATTTCTAAAAGAAAAATAATATAAAGGGTGGAATTCAATACGCCTCTTCACAACAAGTCGATTATTTTTTCCCCCAACGACCGCGAACGTCACGTAAAAATTTAATACGCAACTGTACTGTACTTTATAAGCGAAAAAAGCACCTTCGTCAAAATATGTGGCTTGTATTTGTCAACATTTGACAAGATATGTATACTTGAAAAGTGTCACTACCTAAAAACCAAATGAAATGAATCATGCGTAGATCGAACATTTTTTACGTACTTGGAAATACACTGAGCCGTATAATATTTTGAAGACATATTTCCTATATAAATCATGTTTTAAACCAAGAAGAAATTTTAAATTCAAAGGATATTTAGGTCGAACGATTCACTCACGTTTCATGTACCGCAGCTACAAAAATATTCATACATCAAAAAGCAGTAAACGAATGTTGGCTGATATATGAAAATCCAAATAAATATGGCGGCTATGTTTGATAATAAAATGGCGTTAAATACGTTGCTGATTCGTCCGATCCTGGCATTAAAACCACGGAAATTACCTTGGCAGTCGTGTCTTCGTTTAGACAACAAATATATCTCTTCAAATCGCTTTCTTGTTGGTAAAAACTTCGAAATAGTTGACCACCTTTGAGTTCTGTTTGCTGTCTTTGCAATACACCAGGCACGTGACCGCTGTTCCGATGACGTCATATATAACTCGAGAAAGAGACTGCCTACCTGTATTATTGAGATCAGTGGATGACTATACTCTTTTAATATTTAATATTGCGAAATATTTTCGATATATTAATAAGAATGTTAGGGTAATAAATTTCGAAAGATAATATTGATTTATAGTGGATTTCATTCTAAGCATTTGGTAAGGAAATTTGGGGTTAAACTTGGAATTAAAGTTCATTGCGCGCAAGCAATGACGTTTCATATTTTGTAATCATTCGAGAACGACATGAACTTCCGCATTTCAGTCATAGTTTCTTTCAACGCGTTTCTACGACAACCTCCGATAACAGCCGGTAAATATCGAAGACTTTGCGACCAAGGAAGCTTTCTTTCCCGATCGACATGCTAAAGCTCTCTGATGGCGTTTTGGGTTACAAGCTGCCAACTGGCGTTTTCTTATCGCCTACAAATTGGCGAACATCACTATGTATTTTATTTTGTGACGTTACTCTGAGTGTGCATCCACTCCGGGCAATCTGAAAAGTTTGCCTGACCGCTGTCAATCTCGTACCCAGAGCCATCGTTGACTCGTTGAGTACGAGATTGGACCACGGTGGGAATCGAACCCCCGACCTTTGGGATACTATGTCTATAGTCCAATTAATGCTCTACAAACTGAGCTACGAGCCGTACGAGGTCAAGCTGGTTCGAAACTTCGAATTATTGATATTTCGGAACTGAGTCTAGTTTCTTCGATATGCCTGTTGCCACCTCTGATTTTGGCTTTTATATGGCCGAAAATTTGAGAATTTATAGCTAGTTTAATTAAAATTTCGCCTAATCGTCAATAAAGTACTATATGTCTATGTACTATGACTTCAATGACTATGTTGACTGCAAAATTTCAAGTTTATATTACTTTTCACCAAAATAATCATACCGTAGAAATATCGTAAAAAAAGTATATACAAGAATATATATTTAAGCGAGTGGTGCGAATTTTCAAGCCGGTTTTCAGTTATTAAAGGAGCTTAAAGAATAAAAGTTGGCAAAATAGTAATATAGCGCATTGGCCCCTTCATTTTTGGGCGTTAAAAGCTCAAAATCGGCTACAAAAATCCTGCTACTCGCTTAAACATCTACAGTATGCATATTTTTGCGAACTTTCTTTTGGTAAAGTGTTAAACATGCATTATTCAATTCCCAAGAGATGATGCTTTAATACACTCGAACATTGTGAATAAACTAATTTAAAGGTCAGCTGTGAAAAAAAATCTTGACTGAATTGTTGATTCGATTGTAAAGTGCAATTTTGGACAGGTGTGAAAGTGGACTCAGATAATCTTGCACGCGCCGATACAGGCGAACTAGTCACAACTGATCTACAACATTTTTGCACATTTTAAAACTATAACACAGGTTCCTATTCCCAATACTTTTTTAAGCCGTTATGCCAGGCTTTAGCCAACTGTTTGATAGGGGCGATTTTTTGGGACTCCCTTGTACAGTTTGCACTGGTGTATAGAATGGTCGCGGCGTCGTGCTTAAACTGTGGTACGGCAAGCTAAAACTACGTTTACATCACAGATTACGTATATACAGATGTGTAACTATAACTTCAGTTCGGTAGTACGGTCGCCATCTTCGGAGCAAGTGTAGCCTGCTCGCGATCGCAGGCCGTTGTCTGGCAGAAGCTGAAGCTAGCTGAGGCTAGAGCAAGTGTCGCTCGCGTGATATTTGGTAATACCCATAGATACCGTATATGCACTAGATAGTGCATCTAATTATTCCGGCTGCAATTCAAAAATTGAAGCCGTGATTGCAGTCTCAGGTCGTTCTCATGTCGTTCTCATGAAATGAGAAGATTCGTATGTTTTTTTATTTTTTAAACAGGGAACTTAATTAAACATTAAGTTAGCCCTATTCCAAATACATTTTTAAACTATTCTAATGAATGATAGTTATTGTTGTTTTTAAGCGTTTATTACTAAGTTGGAACGACCAACATGGCCGCCATCTATTCAAATGGGGGTAACCGCTGGAATATTCTTGGCTTCAATTTTACTGAAAGATCGAGATGCGCTATCTAGTGTATATAAGATATCTATGGTAATACCCGGTAATACGCCCTTTGGTAATACTATATACAAGGCCGCCATCTTCCTAGCAAATTTTAGGATAAGTAATCTGTGGTTTACACCCAACGATTAATCGGGCCTATTTCATGTTTTGTCGATTGTTAATGATAAACGTTGTCATCCAGTTGACGATGTCGTCAGATGACGTTGACAGCGTTTTCTTTCAAATATCATTTAATTAAAGCTGAATCGCCGATTAAAATCGTTGTGTGTAAACGCAAAGGCTATATAGGCTTGTGATTAGTTGGGATAAAGATCAAAGAGAAACATATTTGTGCACGAAAATGGACATATTACCCTCGTGTAGGGGCGAAACTTGAGGTGGGGTATGGGGGGGTGTTGCACCCCCCCAAAATACGAATCATCCCGATTGGCAGGGCAATCAAAGGTCTCTTATAAATAAATGATAGCACATAGGCGTACCGGGCGGGGGCAATATTCGATCAACAGTCGGGCAATTTTGGTTTGAAAAAAAAAATGGGACAAATTCAGTCAATTTTAGCTAAAATTAAGTACATTTTTTCACAAATTGTGTGATTTTTCGAAAATTTGTGTTATGTTCCGAAAAATATAGGTTGTCCGGAAAATGTTTTTCAAGATTTGTCCGCAAAAATTTTGCAAGGCATCACTGGTTTTGGCAGGGCAATTCTGCCACACACCCCCCTAATTAAAAGGGGCTAGTTCCGCCCCTGCCCTCGTGTGCGCATGCCATGCTAAAACAGGCAAACATGAGGCCATTGGGGCAAAGGTCTATTTTGTTAAATTTATGCACAGTGAATCCGCTTCTCATAATAGTTCAGTATGGGTGGCTATGTCGTAATGTCCATAATATATATATTTTACATAGTGTTATGATATTATAATAAATAATAATTAAATAAATAAGTAGCAAGCGCAGTTTATTGACAGCCATGAGAATCTGGGAATTAAAAAGTTAATTCTTGCACTTTTATTTTTTTTTAGTTTATGGCTTATCTTCGTACTTTTGTGATGCTTGGGACCCACCCCCTCCCCAATTGCCATTCCAGTTATTTCCGCCACCCACACCTCCCCATTTTGTGCTCCAGTTGCTGCCCCCACCTCCGCCATTACCTTTACCACCTCCCCATTTCGTACTCCAGCTGTTACCACCACCACCACCTTGATTTCCTCCCCATTTTGTGCTCCAACTTGAACCACCCCCCTGATTTCCACCCATACCAGCGCCCCCTTGACTTCCACCCCTACCTCCCCCACCCCTACCTCCCCCACCTCCTTCAGCCATACCTCCTCCACCTCCCTCACCTCTACCTCCCCCACCTCTACCTCTCCCACCTACTCCACCTCCCTCACCCCCACCTCCCTGACCTTCACCACCACCCTGGCCGCTTCTAGCTACACCACCACCACCAGGCACCCATTTGGGATTTTTACAGAACGATTTATCATACGTTCCCTTTAAAACATTTTCAGGTGCCTTTCCTCTCCAATTTCCAGCCGGTTTATAACGTCCTACCACATAGGTACAGCGACCTTTCGTAGCCTTGCCTATGCCAAGTTCCAAACTTGTTTTCCAAACAACTTGAGTGAAATGACCAACGACTTTGCCATTGAAAGATTTTCCGGAATTAAAATCATAGTCACACACTTCTGCATACCTACACAAAAGAAAGACCAACAAATAAGCAATACGCCAACTTGGAGTTGCCACAACGTATCCAAAAGACTCCATCTGCGTCGGCATAAATTGCAGTTGAACTGTAACATGTAGCTGAAAGATTTAGAATATGCACATCAGATGGCCGATGGTTGCATTTTTAGGTTAGGTCTAAGAAGTGTATAAAAATTCCACTCGAAATTTTCATCTACGAATATCTTCAACAAGTATTTCTAATGAGATACCCAAAGTCTTGATTAAACCGCGCCAATCACAAAACAGAATTAGTGGTTTGTGATTGGCGCGGTTTAATCAAAGAATCCTCCCGTTGAACCAGAGCCTTCACGACGTTTCAATTTATTATTTACTGAAGGCTCTGGAATCCAGGGTAAGCAGATCTAGACGATCGAGATGTTTAACCTATACTTAGGTATCAAGCAAGTGCCTCTGCGGCCTGTGTAACTTGAAAAACATTTTATATGCTACACCTTAATATGGCCGCCATTATTGACTTCATGTAAATAAAGATTATAACAGAATAGAATGGGTATTGCGGGAAAAATCGAGGGACAAATTGAAGCTTCGAACTCCTAATGGGGGCAAATAACGCTCTCCGATTGGCTAAAATCTTGTTGCCCGGATGTAAACTCTCATCCCCGATGTTTAGGAGGAGTGGAAAATTACTAAAATAATACAACCTTGAAAACCCCGATTAATACAAAACAAGGTTTGGAACGGCAGATATGTTTTAAGGTGCTTTTTTATGTTGAAGAGCGGGGATACAATGCTTCCCCCTTCACTAACCATGCAGTGGTAACATCACCACCAGTAACAGCCAAACCACAACTGTAGTAAATATTTTCGCCATTCCCATTCCTTTCCTTGATATCAGCATGTTTCATTTTTCCTAACGTCGTCAAGTATTGAGCCCATTTGGCAGCCTGTGCATTCATATCCTTGTTAAGTCTCATCGCGGCAACGTTGTGGATTGCTCGATACTTGTTGTGAGCATCCAAACTTTCTTGTTCAAATTCACCTTGTGCTTAAAGAGAATGCCCTTTTGAATTTCGACCTTTTTTTAAATTTCCGGAAAACAATTTTTTGGCAATTCTGGCAGACACCCCCCCCCCCCGAATTAAAAGGGCTAGTTTCGCCCCTGAAGCCAATGTCAACACCACTTCATGTTAACACCGGAGTTCTGACGCGCGCTAATTCGTGATAGACCGCGCGGTGATGGCGTATAAAGGGACTGAAACTGACGTACTATATGGCGTGGAACAATCTCGTTCACCGAGCCTGAGATCCTCGGGAAGGAACGTGAGGCTCTGGGATAATCCGTTTCAGGGAGGAATCTGATTGGCCGTTGCTTTCGAATGCGCAGTTCGGTCTTAGCCAGGATTCCTGGCTTCCGGCAACGGATTATCCCAGAGCCTCACGTTCCTTTCCGAGGATCACCGGCTCGGGGAACGAAATTGGGCGTGGAAATGGCGTGGAGTGCTTTTTAACTGCCAAATGACCAAGTGTTATCGTATCAGGAAAATTAAAATAGATTGAGTTCATTGGCCCGGCTAGGTGAGATCCCACCTTGTGCCAGGTGCATGAGATGTAAGTAGACTTGCTCCAAATCTCTCTTTCATTGTCATATAGTATCGATCCACTATAGTGTACATTACACGACACCTATAGTGGATCGATACTATATGACAATGAAAGAGAGACTTGGAGCAAGTCTAGAGATGTAAGTGAAGTGAGATGAAATTTTTCATATTAAGCAAAGCTGTGGCTAGCCACGGGGGGAGAACAAAGGGACATTCCCCCCTATAACCCAACCCTAACCACTAACCCCTAACCCTAACTTTTTTAACTTTTTTAACTTTTTTGAAAATCTAACTTTTTAAACTTTTTTTGCTTTTTAAAACTCTTTTAAAACTTTTTTAAAAAGTTTTTTAAAAACTATATTTTTTGAAAATCTTGAAAATCTCATTCAGCTAGCAAATTTGATTGCCTTCCCGAGGTTCTGAGATGCCTGACATTTCAAAATTTTCCTGGGGAGCACGCCTTTTCTTTTACGCTCAGCGATATCTTGATGACGTCACGCATCCCTCCAATGAGGACTTTATCCCACCTGTCATCGTATCGCCGCTAGTTAAGGCAAAATAAAGTGCTTTCAATCCCAATTGAATTAATGAACGTATGAATATTTCAAGATTTCGCTGATCAGATATCTTACGCAAGTTATATGCGTAAGTCAGAGCCCAATAATACATATACTTACATTCTTCTTTCCCTCCACCACCTCCTCCGCCTCCGTCACCACCTCCCTGACCACCTCCACCTCCAAAACCGCCACCACCTCCACCTCCTTCACCACCTCCACCACCTCCCTGACCACCTCCAAAACCTCCACCTCCTTCACCACCTCCACCACCTTCCTGACCACCTCCACCTCCAAAACCTTCACCACCTCCACCACCACCCTGGCCGCCTGCAGCTGTACCACCATCACCAGGCACCCATTTGGGATTTTTACAGAACGATTTATCATAAGTTCCCTTTAAAACATTTTGCGGTTCCTTTCCTCTCCAATTTCCAGCCGGTTTATAACGTCCTACCACATAGGTACAGCGACCTTTCGTAGCCTTGCCTATGCCAAGTTCCAAACTTGTTTTCCAAACAACTTGAGTGAAATGACCAACGACTTTGCCATTGAAAGATTTTCCGGAATTAAAATCATAGTCACACACTTCTGCATACCTACACAAAAGAAAGACCAACAAATAAGCAATACGCCAACTTGGAGTTGCCACAACGTATCCAAAAGACTCCATCTGCGTCGGCATAAAATTGCAGTTGAACTGTAACATGTAGCTTAAAGATTTAGAATATGCATATCAGATGGCCGATGGTTGCATTTTTTAGGATACGTCTAATAAGTGTATAAAAATTCCACTCGAAATTTTCATCTACGAATATCTTCAACAAGTATTTCTAATGAGATACCCAAAGTCTTTGATTTTTTTTTCAGAAATGTAGTTTCTATTTAATATTTGCCTGTTACATCCAGTCATGTTACAGCCAAAATACAAGAACCGACTAACTTTCCCTCCCGTGTAATCTGTTGTAATTTTCTGTAAATTCATCTGCTTCTCTGTAGTGGTTACCAAATTATGAGTAAATATGGGGACAAAATTTACTTTTCTTTGTTTTATATGATAGTAATAACTTTGCTTCACTGCATTTTAAAATATATAAAAGGTGCGGAGCAGGGCCGTCGCTATAAGGCGGGTGTGTGGGGTGTGACATCCCGGCCCCCAATGAAAACATCTTGTCGGCCAAATAACGAATTTATCGAATTGTTTTCGTAGTGAACGAAAGGTTCCGATTAAAAATTAATAGTTATAGCAAACATTTTGATAAATTAATGAAAACATTTACCGAAAAATGTAACAAATCACGGTAATTAACTCGAAATGGTATGATATATCCGGAATTTTTTTTCACCTTCCCCCCCCCTCCCCCCTTCTTCGCCAACAATTTTGAGAAAAGAAATATTAATTAGCGACATGCGGAATTTGTATTTTATCACGGTCTATAAATCGGTAATCATACATGGACCATACATTGGCGTCACCTTAATATTTATACATGAACTTGTGGTTAGAGCTCAACGACTGTCTCTCTGTAGCTCAGTTGGTTAGGGCGCTGCACCGGAATCGCAGGGTTGCAGGTTCAATAAGAATTCCTGCCAGAGGGCAGTTGGTTGCATTTTTCGCAACTGCTCCTGGTTAAGCCAATTTTCCATGCCACTAGGCGAAAATTTGTGCGCGTCAGTTTTCCATCTACAAATCCCTTCAACAATATCAAATTATTCAACAGTTCAATCACGTACGATTTCAATGTGCAAGAAGTTGCAATTAGTTTCCGCACAGTTGATTCACTTTAGATTAGAAAATATATTCCCTTAAATGTACCTTTGTCATCAGTTTCGTTGTACACAGAAGACAAAATATGATGGTACAAACATTATTTAATAGACAGTTCTATTGTGGCTATACGTGTGTCACAAATCTTTACGCTAGGGGAAGCAGTGTAGCTCTGCGGGGGGTGGAAAACATCATTCGGGGAGGAACCAAGATGGCTGACTTATAAAAAACACTAAAGTTTATATTTTCCGTTGTTTTATTAAAAAATTAATCAGTAGTTGTCCTAAATGTGACCAAGACCGGTTTCTCAAGAATTCCATGGCAACGTGAAAAACAAATAATGATCGAACAGCCGAATACTGTGATATGCATATCCTGATTGTTCCAGTCTCAGTCTTTGACTTCCTGTGTGTGGTCAGGGGCGTAGCAAGCATTAAGGGGGGGCACCGGCTTCAAAGGCACGTTTAGACATTGAAAAGGGCACCTAAAAAATTTTTCCCGGAAACGTTCGCGACGTGGGAGGGGGATTTTCCCATCATACTATACCGAAATTGCACGTTTTTTACCAAATTTTTTTAAAAAACATCGAATTTACGAAACAAAAAGGGCACCTTTGATGTTAATTTAGTATTTACAGCGACATTAGCTTGTCCAAAAAAGGGCACTTTTTGTCCTGTGAAAAACTTGGGGGGGGGGGGCACGTGGCCCCGGTGCCCCCCCGGTTCCTACGCCCCTGTGTGTGGTCTTCTCGTCACTCCCTTTCCTTTCAATGTAACATACATAAGTGTAAAAATAACAAAGAAAAGTCACAACCTCGGTCAAAATGACTTTGCACTCGGCGAATTTACACAAAAATATTGAATTTATCTGGTTTAATGCAGACGTCCGAGATGTTTAACCTATACCTAAGTATCAAGCAAGTGCCTCTGCGGCGTTGGCAAACATTTTATACGCTACACCTTAATATGGCCGCCATTATTGACTTCGTGTACATAGTGATTATAACAGAACAGTGGGCATTGTGGGAAAAATCGAGGTACAAATTGAAGCTTTGAACTCCTAATGGGGGCAAATAACGCTCTCCGATTGGCTAAAATCTCGTTGCCCGGATGTAAACTCTCATTCCCGATGTTTAGGAGGAGCGGAAAATTACTAAAATAATACAACTTTGAAAACCTCGATTAATACAAAACAAGGTTTGGAACGGCAGACATGATTTAATTAAGGTGCTTTTTTATGTTGAAGAGCGGGGATACAATGGTTCCCCCTCACTAACCATGCAGTGGTAACATCACCACCAGTAACAGCCAAACCACAACTGTAATAGATATTTTCGCCATTCCCATTCTTTTCCTTGATATCAGCATGTTTCATTTTTCCTAACGTCGTCAAGTATTGAGCCCATTTGGCAGCCTGTGCATTCATATCCTTGTTAAGTCTCATCGCGGCAACGTTGTGGATTGCTCGATACTTGTTGTGAGCATCCAAACTTTCTTGTTCAAATTCACCTTGTGCTGAAGAGAATTGAATGTCATCATGACCATTTGTAGGACAACTGGCAAGGGCGTCAATCCTGCGGGTGGGGGGGGGGGCGGCAGTGGCAAAAGCCAGCCCGACAATTTAGATATGCTATGCAAATTTTAAATCATTATCATTTAATATTCATTTCTTTAGAAATTGATTGTTTTCACGGTCTATGAACACGGAAATATCTGCATAGCAGACCAAATTGTCGGACTGGCTTCGCCACTGATAAATTACGTCAATTGGTCGACTTCGTCAACCAACTTTTTGGAATGGATTGTCGCTTTTGATAACTTTTATGAGCATTTGATCCTTCATATGAACCCATCATGCCCCTGATCGCAGTACGCGTACAACGATATCTTGATGACGTCACGCATCCCTCTACCCCTTCTATTTCGTCTGCTACGCTACTGATATGAAGACTTTATCCCACCTGTTATCGTATACTATCGCCGCTAGTTAAGGCAAAACAAAGTGTTTTCAATCTCATGGAATTAAATTGATGCACGCATAAACATTTCAATATTTCGCCGATCAGATCTTTTACGCAGGTTCTATGCATAATGCAGAGTCCCATAATACATATACTTACATTGTTCTTTCCCTCCACCTCCTGCACCACCTCCACCACCTCCCTGACCACCTCCTCCTCCACCACCTCCCTGACCACCTCCCTGACCACCTCCCTGACCACCTCCCTGACCACCTCCCTGACCACCTCCCTGACCAC